AAAAATTATGACATATATGGTCATATGTATATTATGTGATTTTGTATTACGTTATGATTTTTATTATATTTTTATATTCAGTCCCAGACAGTTTAATTTATTTTTGAAACACAAATCGTATGCTATAATAACGATTTAATGTTTTAATGAAATTAAGAAGTACAATAATTCAAGCGAGATTAAATAGCTATCAACTACAGAACAAGAAATGGCTATAAATTAAATCCCGAAAACATTATTGGTAATATTAAGAACTCAACTGTACGCAGAATCGTTTTATGATTAATTTTGATTATTTATCAAATTTATTTTGTTTTTCATTTAAGTATATAATTACGTTTTTATTTATTTACCCTATTTAAACGTATTACTCAAACCATGTCAAGTGTTATGTATTTATTTTATTTTAAAATTTAATTATGAAGACAGTTATAACGATTAAGAAATGGCTATTCAGTCACTTTTTTAGGAAAAAAAAATTAAAATTTTAAATTAAATAGTTATTAAGACCATAATTTCGAACGCTTAAATCAACTTTCAGTTTAGGGGGGGGGGGGCAGTGGCAGCCTTTTGCATACCCTAAAGAAAGATCTGCGCATACATGTGTTACATGTGTTACATACATGTGTTACACACGACTCTTGTTAACGAACACATGCTCATCGTTTTGTTATGCTAATATGGACGCAGCTTAACAAAGGGCGGCAATAGATACAATTTTGGCTTTAGGGCGGAAAATATCTAAGATCTCCGTTCGGTCGATTTCAATATTGTTAGACGAAAAAATTATAAACGATGTACAAAATCGCGCATATTCATACGGTATGGGCCGTAGGCATTATTATGATTGTATAATAAAAGACGATGTTAGGGAAGAAATTAAAAGAGAACTTAAAAGAATCAGATGTCAATGAGGGTAATGAGAATGAGAGGATAGCAATTATTATTAAAAATCTCAATTTCGATTTACGTGTATTATGGATTTATGAAATTATTCATGAAAATGCTCCATTATTTGCATTTCTCGGTAGGAACCGATTTGTTTAGATATAATATGTGGATAAAGTTAATTTTCTTTCCGATTCAAAGTGCGGTGAACGGAGTTGTTTTTCTTATGCGTCGTGCCTTATCTCGTTGTCGATGATTAACTGATAACTGAAATTATATCTGATAAGTTCAAAGTTAAAAACGCGAACGACTTGTATAAGTGAAATTATGCTTAGTATATTAAATTAAAATTTAACTTAAACTGTTAACCAATTGGGAATAAGTTCATCAAAACGAATCATAAATGAAAATGAACAAACCACTTTTGTAAGAAAAGTTTCGTTTTTACACTAATTAATTTTTGTTTATATATTTCGTTTGTTTCTAATTTGTTGATTTTTTTTCCATACAGGAATATTATCTATACATGGACTGAGAGAATCAAAAAACGAAATAAAATAATGATGCAGGAGTGATATTGATTGATATTCATTGATATTAATTGTATGTTGTTGGTATATTTTACAATTTTCAAAAGATTCATTTTATAGTGTCAAGCATATATTTTATGATTAAGCTTAACATAAACGTAACTCGCAAAGTAAATGATACAAGTTAATTGAAATAAATTATATGAGTTTTCAGAAGAATGAGAATCTATATAATTTAACCCGATAATATGCATTTCATGTGAGTAATTGTATTTCCTATTTAAATAATATCCAATTTTCAAATCATTGAAATCATAAAATATTCTCTAATTTTTTCAAAGTTATTTGAAAAAATACAAAAAGAAATTAAGAAATTTCAATTTTTATAAATTATATAACAGTAATTTAAAAGTGTAATTTAATCTATTAAAAAACTTTTATTAATAAAATATTTTACATCATACGGTTACATATTTTTAAAGATAATTTGAAGTTATTATAACTTCAAGACAATAGGTATTATATTAATAATATATGATATAAGTCATATATTTAAATGAATATTTTCTTTCCCATTTCATTAATTTCACAAAATATTTTATGTACATAAATTATATAAATACATATTTTATACCTCTTGACTTATTGTACATCAATATAAATTAGTCAATGTGTTTGTTAATTAGGTTAAGTTTTTTATGGAAAACTAATAAACTTTACGTTTTCTGAGTAGAATTGAATTTTGAACCATTCTCAATCATGTCATACATTTTTTCAACATTTTAACTACTATACTTTTAAATTAATAATAATTATTTACATTTCTTTTACAGAAAAAAGACTATTATGTGATGTATTGAATAATAACAACTTAAACTGAAGACAAACTAAACCCTGATGTTGTAAAATACTTAACTAAAACCTGAGCACTGTTTCATTTTAAAGCTATTGTTCAATGTTAAGAATTAACTAAATCATACATAAAAGTGATAAGGACAATCATTAAAGTAATCCTCAATGTGAGTATACTTAGCTAACAGTAATATTATCTATGGTTATTAATTATTTTCTTTTTACTGTTTGGAACGATTATTATATTTTGAATTTGATATCTTATCTTAACAAAGATTAATATTGTTGTGCGCATAGAACAAAAATTGAGAATTCACAAGTATCTGCAATCCTGAAAAATAAATATTCTGTGTTAATGTTAAAAACCATTTTTTAACAAAATTTTAATTCAATAAGCATTTAAATTATTTTACTATTATCACTAGTTCATACATTGTATGATCCAGAAAGTAAAATGTCTAATTTAATGGAGTTACCTCATGATTATTATTAAATAATAGATTTATTAAAGTAACAGTTATAATTTTCAATCCAATGAAACTTGATTCCAACCTCAACATTAAAACTCTCTAATGTACTCAATCAAAATACAACTAGTTAGTTAAGATGTTATTGCATTATATAAAAGTAGATAAAGATTTAGACAGTGCTAGACTGGTCATTTAATCATTAACAAATTATTGCTTGACATAGACTTGGTTCAGCCACATCACCTCGAGTACATAATCTTACTCATTCTAAATTATTCTTTCTTTATAGTAGTAGGTTATTTTAAATGTTTTATTATTTTTATTTAATAATATATTGTTATAATGTTTAGAAGTTTTAATACATAAATGTTTGATTATTTTAATACCTACCTTCTCACAACTACCTCAAGCTAACAAAGAACATTTTTCAGCCTAACCTGCACAGCGATCACTACACTAACAACAAAACAACAGTATCGATGGACAGAACTGATTTGAAATTTAATACTAGTAATATGTAGGTATAGTAATATAGTCATCGAACAAAATTAAATTTATAAAATGTTAAGAAACTCAATTCGTTAAATTACTTTTCTTGAAATAAATTGTTTTGATGGTGTTTATGGTTCTTTATATTTACAATTGCTTTTAAATTATATGTTTTTTACAGAAATTATAAATATAAAGTGTGTAAAGACATGTTCATGATTCATCAATTTCACATATTCAGTATTTTCTAATGAAAAAAAAATGTAGAACACTATTTATGTCCCCAACTAGTGCATGAATTAGTGCCTTAGTTCTATTCTCAACTATAAACTTTTGACTATAAATGTATAACTTCAAATGTAAGGTTAAGGTTGTTTTAAATGAACTATATACATTTATTGGTATCTAAAACCATTCAAATAATACTATTTAAAATTATGAAAATAAATATTCATATCTCAAGTATTAAAATTATTTTTACAAAATTATAATAAAATCAATAAATCAAAAACAAGAATCGTCGAAGTACAATTTAAACAAATATAAAGCCGCTAAAATGCATAATATGTCAGATACTAAAAAAAAAAAAGGTTTTGATTACTCATCCTGTCAGATTATTTCTCCCAGTTCGTTGCGTTCAGCTCGCGACAAGAACCAACAAAAAGTATTAGAAATGATTAGAACTGTTGCTTTCGATTCGATAAGATGCTTTTACTCGAATCCGCAAAAAAAAAAAATAGTTTAATTTAAAGACAAGTCTAGCTAATTGTGTATGCATCAAACATAATACGCCCGTCATTATAATATCAAGAGCTTAGATTACAAATCACAAGTTTTCGTTGGCCAACAATTAAAATAATTAGACAAATCTAAGTATAATTATACGAGTGAAATTAGGCCGTATACATAATCATAATCTGCAAATTGAACGTTTTCACTATTCAGTGACTTGGTTACCTGCAGTAAATTATAACTTATTGATTACAAAGCCAAAATGCACAGTTAGAAATTCAAAACTATCATTATCACTAGTCATTACACGAAAATCGCTTATCACGAGCTAGTTGTTTTTATTGATATTTTCAAATAAAATGTTTAATACTAAAACCGATGCAATAATAAATTCTCAAAATATATTTGATTTTTGGTTTTGGAAATATGTAACAAGGCACTGAAGGTACTCGTGTGTATTCGCTAGATTCAGATGTGGTGGAAAGCGTACAAAAATATCGTTTCATCAGTCAGAATTTATTTTCACTGCGGCGAAATAACATGAATTTTCGTCGTACACCCCTAGTTCCGCTGCCAGTCGGTCCGCATAATATAAGTGCCACGGACATATACGGTATCATTTGTATTCCTGTGTGGAATGTTTTCCGATTTGCCCGGCGTCATCAGCAGTTATTGAATTTTACTTTCAAATTTCAAAATCGAAATCCACGTTTCGAATCTATTATCACTTATCAGACTTCGGTTATCACTGGTTGTTCCATAGCCGTTTCCGTTTACAGATAATAATATCTTATGATAATTAAATATATATCTAATATAAGTTCTCTTAAAAATATATTAGTACATTTGTGCGGATCCTACACATACTGGAGATGGACATTGTGGGCCATAGTGGACCTATGTCGGGGACCTTAAAATATAAGGTCCCACATTTTCGACTGCGGGGTTGGCCACACTGTGAGGTCTGGGCTGTCAGTGACGGACACCTTGACGGTGGGTCGCTTTGGTCGTGGAGCGTTAGTGTGCATTTGTGTGATCGTTTGGTTAGGTCGTCTTTCCTTGTGATCGTCCGTCTTTTGCTAACTCTTCATTATACTAGTTGCTCTTGTTCCTTCGTCACGTGTGTCTCGCGGTTCACTTCCTGTTGAGCGTGTACTACTTAGTGTTGACGGGGTACAATTAACTGTTTTTTATTTTTATTTTGTATGTGATTGTGCATTTATTTTTTTATTTCTCGTATTGACGTTTATCGTGTGCGAGTTTTTTTGTTTCGTTTTGACGTTTTGTTTTCTATGAAACTTGTTGTTATCAACTTTACGATCGCGTTTGGCAGTTAATAGTTCGTAGTTTACAATTTATAAATTGTATTGTTTTTATTTTTTTCGTTTCCGTCGTCTTCCACCGGTTGTGTTTTAGTATGGTTTTCACGTTTTCAGTCAATCATCGAATGTTGGTCAGTCAGTCACCCGGTCATTGTTATCCCAGATACAAGTAATGGGAGAACGATCACTGCTCTGAAACGAGCCCGTTTTGCTATTATATGCCTTCGGTGAGTACCTGCTTATTCTCAGTTTTTGACCACTTGCCATCACGCGTACCATTTACTACGGCGTATGAAATGCCGTCGTCCGCTCTATTCGGTTCAACAAAAATCCATACAGCTATCCTTACCTCATCATCCTAGTTCCTGGTTTTCATTAAATTATAATCATGATGGTTTTTCCTCGTTTATCACAAGATAAATTAAATACATTTTTTTTCTTCGCCTTATCCAGGTACATTAAGAAATGGTTACAGTAGATATTAGAAATTTAAGGGAAATTTAAGGGACCATGTGTACTGTTTATTCATTGTATCCAACACTGAAATCTTATCAGTGTTTTACTTCCATTTACAGTTTGTTTTTACTTCAAAGTTATGAACTGACTCTGGACTCGGTCTTTGTCTACAGAATGTTACCATTTAACAAGCTTTAGAAAACATCTTTTCACTATAAACAAATGTCTCAAATAACTTCAAATTTTTTAGGAATTCTAAGATATTTTAGTCCCTCTAGCATCACATTTTTTAACGAATCAGAATTTATTTTCTATTGTATAAGTGGACTTGATATCTATATTCAAAGTGGCAGTTCTAAGTAATTTTGAATTTAACTGATCAAAATAAATATAAAATACAATTTATAATATTTATAGTCTAAAAACCCAATTCTTTTGTATAGGTAAAATTAAACTTGCCTTTGTCATTGATTTTTTTTTTTTAATAATGTCCCTTAATAAGTTGGTTAGTACTATTAGTATTAGAATAAATATTTTGGCCATTTAGATGTATTATTTATTATTCTATAGTTATTTCAGTTTTAAACAAATTGTTTAGTCTACGTTTCTATTTATAGGTACTGCTTTAAACTTGGGATCCAAGATTGTTACTGTAATCATATGCAAACATTCTTGGTAGAAAAAGCAATCCTACTTTATTTTTAGTACATTCTAATTCTATGATTATATTAGTATTTTGTTAAATTAAATTATTAAATTAAATCTATATTTTATACATAGTTGGAATTACTAATGAAAAGGTGGGCATTCCTAAACTTTTATCAGTTGTAACACTCAACAATGATTATCATGATGATATTTACAAAAACACCTTTCTATTTATTTTATATATTGATAACCCCTGACAACTCCTTTAAAAATTGCTACCAAATTAATAATTTGCTATCAAATTTGTTTAACAAAATCTAGATGTGGGTTTGTTTGATGAAAATTTTAATTAATGAGGGGTTTGACACTAGCCAATTGTTTGGTACCTCAAAGTTATTGATAACCATTGAGAAGCTGATATAGATTGGCGCCTAAAAGTGTCCTTTTTTTAATGCAAGGATGTAGTGATAATAGTCATTATTCAAAAGTTGTATGGTCCATACACTGGAAGTTGGTGTAGTCAACTGATTTTGTACGTAATATTTCTCGTAACAAATTATTGTGGGTATATTTTCCCTTAATTTTAGCCATTTTCTTCAACAAAGCCTATTTTATTTATTTTTTTTTTATACATAATATCAAAAATGCTTTATCTATGTTGCTCATTGTAAATTGAGTAATAAATAATCAAGTAAAAAATGAATAATAAAGAGCTTTGGAGTTTGTACGATAAGTCATAGAATATGAATATCGTATTATTACATGTGTCATGACAAGGATAAAATTGAAATTAAGGGGAAACAAATTTGAACATTTATGGAGGTCTTAATTGCTACATCTCGATATAGATTAGTCCAATTTATCTATTATCAATTTTAAAGCTATAATTATTGCATAGATAGAAAATCCATATTTAATAATTTAATTTTAATGTTTTTACCTTTAAATTATGACTATATTAGCAACTCTGTAGAAAAAAACAATATTATACATAAAAATAAAAGTAACGATTACATAAAAATCATTTTTTAACTCAATTCCAAGTATATAATTTATTTATAAAAATATATTCTTTAAAATAAATATAACAAAAGAAACCACTGTGTCCACTTACATAGTGATTATTTTCAAATCAAGAAAATTACTATTCTTGAAGGGAGCCCTTAGCTTGACATACCAAACCGAAAATTTGTCCTTGTCCTTCATGACTGAGTATTTGCTTCCTTCTCTCCTAGTTTACTTTTTTTTATATTTCCTATTTAAACAAAATAATTTTGAATTTCAATAATTGTTATTAATTATTATTATATTATTGTTATTATTGCCTCAACATATTTTTTGTATAATCAGTATTTAACTCTATTTGTATGTGCTAGTAATATCTATGTGATAAATATTTATGACAGTAGATAATGTGTTATAAGTGATAAGTAGAGCTCGGAAGTTAATGCATTTTGTATTTTCTTTTTTTTAACTTTTTAGACAGTGCTCTCCTGGCCACAAATTTGTTTCATTAGCAAGTGAATCCGAATAACTAATATTTATTTTGCATTTTTTGGTGTTTATTACTTCTTAAATCATCTATTGACATTTTTATTCATTTTTACTGATTTCACACTAGTTCACTAGTTATTGTTTCTTATTGACCATTATCCCGATAACTTAAGACTTGTCTGATTTTATTTCACCTATTATATTCGTAGTTGTCGTATTTTAGTGAATATTACTATATCTACATTTTATTATTTTTTACTAATATTCGATTAGTATCTTATTTTAACCGTCGATTACAGTCGCCACCTCGTTGTTATGTTATAGTGAATAATACCTATAAGGTATATTTACCTAACTTTTTTTTGAATATTATACTGTCAGATGAGGGTTTGAAATCATTATGCATTATATAACAGGTAAATTAATTCTTCCTATTCTCCTTCGCCTTTTTCCCAACTATTTGGGGTTGGCTACTCATGCCCTAAACTTCTACTAGTCTTAATTTTCTATATCCCCTATGCACACACCAATGGACCTCATATAATTTTCAATCGTATCTAACCATTTCTTTTTTGGTTTTTTCTCTTTCTCTTTTTCCTTCAACATTCATTTTCATAACAATTCTTACTGCATTTGTTTCTTCTGGTCTCATCTCATGGCCAAATCATCTCAGTCTATTTTCTCTCATCATAACCATTATAGACAATATATCAATACTAGTTCTCACATATTCGTTCTTCATTCTATTTTCTCTTGTCATATCCTAACCTCTTCTCTCATCCATCTAAGCATTTTCATTTCCGCAACACTCATACTCTGTTTTATTCTCCAGTCAACCGCCCAACACTCTGAACCATATAGCAGAGTTGAGTTGATCTCAATACAATTCTGTAAAATTTACCTTTTTTTTTTTTAACAGTCAAATAAATGTCAATTTTTTTGGATTTATTTGAATACAAATTAATATTTCTTATAATAAAGTATATTATAGAATAGGTATATATAGATTAAAATCCACTAAGTTCAAGATAAAAATTTAGTCAGTTGGATTTACTAAGTGTTATTTTATTTTTAGTGATGTTTTGTATTTGTTCATTGTGTAATAAATTATTTGTTTGATTGGTGTTATGCTGCATTTGTTATCAAACGTCAAAAAAATATTGATTGAGTATCAATTAAATTTTAATTAATCTTTTGAGTTTAGATACACATTTTGAGTAAAATTGAGGAATAAGTGCATTTTAAATTGTTCAATGTGTGCTTTATCTTTTATTTTCAAATATCGTTGTTTTCTTCATTCATCTTCAACATTTTTATTTTTCAAAACTTGTTGAATTTTTTATTAGATGACTTTTAATATAGTTAAATAAGTTTTATACATTTTTTTTAAGTATTTATATTTAATGTTATTATTTTTTTTTTATGAAAATATTAATTAGTCTCATTCTAGACAGCAAATTAAAGTTATTGAAATATTCCAATAACATTTAAAATATAATTTATAATGTTTCTAAAATATTCCAAGTTAGTTTAAATAATATTAACCAAATGTTATAACATTATGACATTATTTTTTGTCCGCCTTAAAAACACTATACTAATATTGATTACACTAATATGACACTAATATTTTTAAAATTCAAATTATAAATAAAGTAGGTACTGAAACATTATTATATTTAAAATAATATTGCTGAAAAATAAAATTAAAATGCATAATTCTATTTATTTATATTAAAAAATATATTGATACATTAATTTAGAAATTTAAATATATCTATTAAGAATATAAAGAATTAAGAGAATAAAATTCACAAATATCAAATTAAATCAATGTTCAGTATTTATTAAATGATTTTATAGTTAACCACACTTTTTTTGGTGTTGCTTTGTTTAAATATTCAGTTAAATGCCCCAAGTTATTAATATGTCCATCCAATGATATATGAGTTGAATTAACAGCTGAAAGTATAGCAGCTATTTCATGTTTTATTTTAATCAATTTATTAGAAAATTTTTAAAAACTGCAATTAATAACATAATAATTATTTTATTTAAAATAAAAATGTACAACTTATATATATATATATATATATATATCATCATACATGCTCTATGAGTATAGTACATGATCCATATTATATATAGAATTTTGATGACTTAAATATCTACATCAAATCTGTATATTATTTAATAAGACATACCTGTATCAGTTATGCGACAATCATAATCATTATTTGGACTACATTTAAATAACTGAGGTACTATTGATCCTTTAAACAAATATAAAATAATAACAAACAACTTCAATACATTTTTAAATTACAACTGAATTTTACTTTGAGATTCGGCACAATGTTCAAAAGCTGTCAATAAAACTTTTTTTTCAGAAGTAAATAATGATGGAGTACTTTCAGATGATAATAGTGTTGGCAATTTATTATTAAAATTGTAATCATCTGCAGTTTCAATTAAAATTTTTTCCAATAGGGGACTTCAAAATTTAATTACTATTCCCATTAACTTGTGCATCACTTTGCAAGATCCTGGTGAAGCTATTAAATGTACTATATAATATATATTAATATAATTATTGTTACTAAAAATTAAATAATTAACCTACCTAATGGTTGGCGATACTTTGGGTCTTTGTCAGAATTATAGTCTTCAAAGTCTGACTATTCAATAACATTAATGGCCTCTTTTTTACAATTCTTCTTTATTTTTCCTAAACAATTTCAATTTTAATATACCATCAAATTAACATTATATATAATTATTTTCATAATTAATCTCAAATAGTGATTTAGAATAAATTAAAATAAATAATTTTAAAATTATTTAGATTAACTGATATACTTACTATTAGGCTTTAGAAAAGGAGGACTCTCCATTTTTCTTTTTAATTCATTTTTATTTGATCTATATGTACTAGTATCATTTCTGATAAATCGCTTAAAAGTTGTGCCATTTTTGATTTAGCACGAGCCTCTTTAAAAGTTGCTGAAAAAATACATTTTTTTTAGTACAACATGTATATTTATATTAACTGATGTATTAGAAGTACTTATATATTTTACAATTATATTTATAAAAACCTACCATATTTTCGGCCTAGAACTCTTGCAGGTAACCACTTGTATTCTTTTTTGGTAGGATAATCTTTTTTCTTCATGCTCGTGCATTTCCCTTCCTTTGGTACCATGTTTCTGGCACAGTTAATATGCAATCTTCATTTAAAAAATGAACTATGACCCGCATAATTTGAAATAATTATCTAAATAACGCATTAAATTATTGATAAATTAAATATTTTATTAATAAACATAATTATAATTGGTATTTAATTTCTTACAATACTATAATAGGCAGCTAATTCAAAAATTGGGGGCCACTGAGCATAGTGGTATAGTACTATAGTATTGTGGTACCCTGACTTAAATAATTTATAACATAGTAGATTCTACATTATATACATATAAAACAAACAAAAACACAGCTTCTTTTAACATAATAATTGCCCAATAATAAATAGCTTTTAATTAAATTTTATAAATTTATTGTATTTAATATCAATAATATATAATAGATTCATTTTTCACCAACTTACATTATTAATATATTATATTATTTTTAATAGGTATATAATATTAATTTTATTATTTTTAATAATATAATATATTAATAATGTAAGTTGGTAAAAAATTAATCTACTTAAAGGTAATTTAAAAATAATATATATACATTAAAAATATTTTTATAGCTATAAAATATTTATATGTAAATAATAGAATTTAAGTATGTATAATGGGCATGGCCACTAACATACCACCATGATTTATCAACATAATTTGCTGTAGGTTAGGTCATACATTTCTATAAATCTATTAATTAGTTGTTCTAGTAGTTTTTTGTGCTTTCTGACTTTATAACTTTTATAACTTTCATGAAGTTTTCAAAACGGAATACGCTTACAATTATCGAGAGGTTCAAAATTAACATAGTCATCAAATAAATGAAGAACTCCAGGAACATTTTGTGAAATGTGCTATCGGTCATATATTTCTTCTTAAATGTTAAAATATATTTAATTGGGTAAAGTTATTATTATTAACATTCTAGGGACCTCATTTTCATTTTTTATTGTTTGTTCTATACAACTTAATTTATAGTCAAAATTAATAATTCGAGGTTTGACATTGTCAACTACAAAATTTTATTTTGATATATTTTGGCTAGTAGATGATAAATTATTTAATTTCTAAATAATGTATAAAGTAAATAAACAAATTCGTACATAAAATCAAACACTATAAATGTATAAAATACTATTTTAATATATAATATTAAATTAATTAACTCACATCTACAGTCATGTTGATTGATTTTATGTTACTTAACTACATAATAAACATTATCATTTGATTCGTTTTTGCTTTCAATAATATCAGATTACTATAAAAAAATTAGTTGGTACATAATACATGTATTGAAAACATTCATCATATGCTATTTTAATAGGTACTTACAACACTTTTCATCAGATTGTTTTCGATTTTTTTAAACATACTAGCCATAATATGACAAGAGAAATCAATTGCTACTAATAACTTTTTATTTTTTTCTCGTTGAAGGGATGTGCCACTTTTTCTTTTTTCGCTCATTTTAGTGGTGAAAATATAATATAGTTTTACTGAATAATAATACAAATTCTGCAATATTTAAAAAATATAACGTAGCAATCATTGAATTTAACATTTATCAGTTCATTATCGTTATCTCTCATCAGTTATTGCCGTTGACAGTTAACAGACTGCGCGGTAGTATAATCGTGATAAAAACAGTTACGAATATGGTTTAAACCACGACTAAGATTTCATATTATATAATTTAACCTATGGCTTAATTTGAAAATTTTATTGTTTATTAATTTAATTGATAACATAATATTTGTTTATTAAAATATATTAAGTATTAGGTAACCATATAAATGTAACCATGATTATCTTAATTAAAATAAGTTCATTACAATATTGTTAATATAAAAATACAATGTAATTTGAATTGTATAAAAAAGCGGTATATTATTTTA